AATATATATATTCTGCCCGAGTATTGTGTCTTCTTTCGTCTTAAGGGAGTCTCGGGACGCTACATATATATATATATATATATTCAGCACGGAGAAGGTGTCTGGGCTATCGGCATGGCCCAAGAGGCCAGCCCACCCAGCAAGGAACAAGGGGGCTAACTCCAAGTACAAAAGTAGCGCCTCACCAGAACCGAGGGACAAACCACTATAGTATTACACTTACGTTGTTCAATCTGACTAATAAAGAGACTGGTGATATTAAGCAATGGTGAAAAATGCGGGAATAACTGCATCACTTAAAAAAGAATCTTCAAACTTTACTACAATTTTTGATTATTTTCCTTATAAAGCCATGGAAAGATAAGTAGACCAAGTCCCACTTATCTTTCCTTTTCAAATTTCCACTTTTAATTTTCGAATCCAACTCAGAAGCCAAAGAGTCAAGCCACAAGAAATTTCGATGTTATTTAATTAGGGAAGACCATCTTCATGGATAGAATATTGCCAAAAGTGGGAAAATTGTTCGCAAAATATTAATATATGAAGAAACCAGTGAGGACCTCATTATTTCTCCTTTCATCTTTTTTCTACGGTGCTAAAGCAAATGCAACTGTTTCCATTCCCACATCGAAAATAACTTTTGGGATCTCGTGCGTTTTGGTCCAAATCTCTTATGCAGACTGCCAAATTCTAGAACCGAAAGACCCAAATGTTTTGAATATTTGTTACTTTAGATATGTGTGGCGGCTTGAAAAGTGTTATTAACAAGCTCGCTCCCATTAATAAGGACTTGTTGATGCTTGTCAATTGAGTCTGAGCAGTCAGGAGATTTTCGCATCGTGGAATAGGAGAATAATGGCTGTTTTATTAATAATTCCCCAATTTTTATTGAAATCTTATGCCCCAGATTTAATAAGGGCAGAATTAAATCAATTACTTCACATTTTGTTCCCTTATCTCAGAAATTTTTGCACAGAAACCTTTGCCAATATATACATCCAGCTTTTATAAAGTGTCATTCAATATTCGACAGCAGTGCTCCGTTCTCCTCTCTTGAATTTTTTACATTTTCCAAGGTGTTACAGGGTCCATACCTAAGAGGTCGAGCCAAAGTTGGAAGAGTTTTGTCAGAGGTAGCACGATACATGGTGTGATAATCAGCCCGTACAAAAGATACGAAGGTTATCCTTTAATGTGTCACCTTGTGACTCTCTTGCCATTTCAAAGTCTCGCCTTCTAACTTTGAGGTACAACAATATATGCCCGCGTGCAACAACGTACTGTACTAAAGTATGCATGTGTGTGTATAGCTAGTACTCTAGTTATTTGTTCAACTCTCGATTTTGCTAACGGACCAATTCGGCACTCCGCTATTGTAACTTCTACGGACGGCCTGGCCTTCTAGCCATGCCAATAGCCCCCAAGCTCTTCTGTAGGTTGGCAATGCATATTCTGCCCGAATATTGTCCCTTTCGTCATATCCAGGGAAGTCTCGAGGCGCCGCAATGCAGTGATAAAGATTTGTGAGCTGAAAATCATTTTCTCTCTAGTCGGATATTTTACAATATCTTTGCGGTCTAAAATCGTTTTGTCGTGTTCGGAGTATTTACGGACTTACGGAAAGGCCACCTTTTTTATCTCCAGCTTGATTTGTGTATGTTCTGTTGATGGCGTAGAGTGTAGGCTAATGAATCACGTAAGAGAGTCCAGAGGGCAAACGCAGTAATTTCGTCCAGTGTATGAATGCACAGAGGAACGACAGGTTTTTGAACCCAATTTTGGATTGGACAACCTGATGAGCATGGCAATAAAACAGGCCTCTCTCTCTGTCAATGATAGTTCAGGTCTGTGAAGTTTAGTATCCAAACGGGAAGAACGCTAAAGAAAACATATCGAGTTGGTTAGCATTCAAAATGGTTTATCCCCGGGAAAGCTCACGGGACGAAAAAAGATGTAACAATTGGTGCAAAATGTGTCTTATCAGAGTAGAGAAGGGCTGGGAGCAAATGGTATGGACCAGAGGCAATGCCACTGGGTGAAAGCACAATGGCCGTGGCTTTCGGTCCCCGCGCAAACAAGACGAAGAGTTGAACAAGCTGGTGAAGTAAAACAATGGTCTTTAGGGACCATGAGCTTAAGGGAAAGGAGTCAGGTCAGTTCAATGGTGCAGTGCTTTGATACCTTGTCAAACCATGTGTTTAATGGCACTTCGGTCTCCACAGGTTGTTCTTTTGCCGTTAACCTGTTTAAACTGCTCACCTCTGACAGTTACCTCAACCTCTTGTTTCTCAAGATAGGCATTAACTGGTAAGTGTTCTTTTAGGATCTGATTGCAGGAATTATGTGAAGATATAAATTAAGCGAATGAACCGTACCTCGGCCACGTCTGTACCGCCAGATTGAGTAAACCGTTGGTCTGCAGTAAATTAGGACGAATGAAGCAGGGATGTATCAGTGTTAAGTGCCGACCTCTTTGGATTGCAGTGGACAATTTATTCTGATAAGTAGCTCTGCTTTAAGACAGGTGTTCCCACAAAAACAACCCATATATGGAATGCACTTGTTATGAAGCATCGATCGGCCCTAAGTAATAAAAAGACAGTCATTCCCCTTCCCCAAAAGGGGTTGCAAGAAGGATGAAGCTGTAGATGAAGCAGAATTACCAGAGTATCATCGTCTTTGCAACCAAACTCAATGGAACTTTGAAAACGACTTTTTCCGCGTGTGGGCGGTGTTTAAAACATTCACCACGCTGAGATGGTCGTTGCAGAATGTTGACCAAAAGAAGCACCAGTAATGATGCTCTGCATGCCTATGGGGACTTTTCTGGCTCTACAGGTTAAACACAAATTTAGCACCATGTTTCTTCATCTTTATTTAAAGCCTCTCAGCTATTCTGTAGGCACGGTTATGTAATACGATAGTGGTTTATCCCCCGGTATTGGTGAGGCGCCACTTTTGTACACTGAACTAGCCCTCTTATACCTTACCTGGTTGGCTGGCCTTTCAGGCCATACCAATAGCTTAGACACCTCTGTGCTGAATATGTACTCTGCCCGAGTATTTTGTCTCCTTTCGCCTTCAGGGAGTCTCAGGACGCTACAGTTTATTATTACTCCAGAGATGACTCAAAGTGGTACAGAAATACAGCTTAATAAGCAAAAAAATTACAATTAATTTATGCTATTGATAACTAGACATTGTCGATGTGAGATATATAATGTGTGTAACAACGGAAGGGCATGATTTTTGATACTTTTAGCAAAACGACGGGTTAAAACAAATAAACTTAGCAACAAAGTAAAGTTTACTAACATTTTAAGTTAGTATGGTGCAGTGAGGTACTTTGTTAGCAACATTTGATACAATTAATCTACGTGCCTCTTGTGGACATTGTTTTACTGCATCAGAATTAGTTATATTGTCCTTAAGCGCTGCAATTACGCGGAATACTCTTCCATAAAACTGCTGGTTTACGGAGTTTTGCGCGACATCGACAGTTATTGTATGTATTTTTAGGATGTTTACTGTTTGGCTGCCTAGTGTTTCTGAGTTAGTTAGCATAAATTCATGTCGCCTGTTCCAATTTCATGTGCACTTCCTTTTTCCACTCTCTGAATCTATCAAGTTATATTCATTCTCTTTTATTCCGGCTTATGGTTTGAGCTTAGGCTTACTTTTTCGTATTAGAGCTTTCTATTATGCACAAACTAGTTTGTTGCTCAAAATTCCTTTTTGCCACCCATGTTTTCGCAAAATTTACATAAGCTTTTTGCTTCTACTGAGTTATTTGAAGTTCCATTCCCTGACTATTAACGCATCAAAAAGACTCGGAGTTTATTGTGTTTTTTACGTTGCTTAGAACTACTCTTGTAAACAATATGATCCATTTGACATGTCTTTTCAACGCATAAACGAACAAGAGTTGATGCATATTTTAACGTACCTTCTAATTAATGATTTCAAATTTAAATAATTGGTAATGCATTTTTTACAGGTTTTATGTGTTTAGTTTTGGAAAGGACTTGACTGTTTTGGGTTCTAAGCGATGTTGGAGGAGTCTGAATTGCTTCTGGTCGTCGTTGGCTTGATGATAGCCTTCGTACTGGCCTTCGGTTTGGGCGCAAATGATGTCGCCAACTCTTTTGGAACCAGTGTTGGTTCAAAAGTGCTCACTTTGAAAGCTGCTTGCACTCTTGCGACCATTTTTGAAATTTCCGGCTCCGTCCTTCTTGGCGGTCAGGTGTCGGCAACCATCCGCGGTGGAATTATCAACCCGAATCTTTTCAATGAAACCTCAAATGGTGCTCTCTTGCTTATGTACGGCCAGTTGGCATCGCTAGCAAGTAAACTTTGCATATATTATTTCTTTCACTGCACGACTGTTGACTTGAATACTAATCGAGACTCTTTTTGTCATCAAGGTTCGTGCATTTGGATGCTTGTTGCCACGTTTTTCAAATTGCCTGTCTCAGGTTCCCATAGTATCGTGGGTGCTACTGCTGGTTTTGGTCTTGTACTCTTCGGTTTAAGTGGCATTCAGTGGATAGGTGTTCTGCGTATTGGTATGTCCAGCTCTCTACCATTTCATTAGACATTGGTATATTCAGTTATGCGTTGTCAGCAATTAACTGCTCTAGTCTCCAATTAAACATTGCATAGTTTGCACCAGAGTTGCAGGTAAATTGACTTAAAATTAAAGAGCAGTTTAAATCACATATAATTTGCCGATTTCACTTTAAATTTCTTCCCTTACTTGGGTACTCATTAAAAATGATAAATTCTGGCTCTAGCATTGTTTGCGTAACCATTTATATATATGTATATATATACATGTAACAAACTTTTGAAAAGCAAAGTGAGTAATTTTTCCCACAATCAGAAGTACTTCCATATAATCTATTTCTGCTTTCAGTCATCTCCTGGTTTGTATCACCCCTTCTCAGCGGTCTTGTGTCAACCTTTATCTTCTTCATTTTAAAGAAAATCGTCTTGACAAAGGTATACCTATTAGTTACTCGTATTTAATGATATAGAGTGCTTCTATAAGTTATCTTCCCATCACTTTTTGAGCAAGTATTTTTCTTGTAGCCTTAAATGGCGTTTGTTATTTAAAATGTCATAGTAGATCATGCATGCGCTTGTTTCGGGATAACGCACATTCCGTCATTTTTAGAACCTCCCTGTATTTGCATAAGTGTGCTCCCCGGAAATTAATACTAACTTATCACCACAAAACCTGTTTTTTGCCTAAAATGTACTGTCGGTGAGAAATTGCGGTTGAGTATTTGGTTTAGGGGTTTTATGTACTCTTCTCTTGATGCGGTGGTTACTCCGTAGAACAATTTCTAGCGACGGTGTGAGGGTATCGTGTTCTCGATTTTCACATTTCTGTTTATGACCTTTAGGAGCATCCTCTCGAGCCAGGTCTTTGTGTCTTGCCATTCTTCTACGGTGCTACTGTGATAATCAACGTCTTTTCAGTTCTCTATGGTGGACTGAGCAGTAAGTCAAAAACCAAAGTGTTTGGAAAGGCCCGGGGTCCTTTGAATAATCCTTTTAATGTCTACTTATTTAATCCCCTTCCTCCTTTTAGTCTTCGGAATCCGTGAAATCAAATTGTGGATTGTTCTGGTCGCTAGCTTCGGTGCCGGTATCCTGACAGGCCTTATCGTTTTCTTTTTCATACGGCCTTATCTCCGTCGGAAGATCTTGCGTAAGTTGAAGCATCATTGAAATCATCTTCTCCATGATACTTTCATACAGATGCGCATAATCTGTTACATACGAAAACAAAATAATCCTGCAAGGTCGTTCGTAAACTCCACTCATATAGCGAATTGAGCACACTGAAGCGACCCCAGCAATGTGCATGTAATTATGCATTCATGCCAACTCAAAAGTTGGATTGCCTTGACTGCTATTTACACCTTCGATCCCGTCAAATTGTATTTTTCGCCTGCAGGTCGGTTGAGCAAGATGGAATGTCCTAAGGAGGACGGTGATGCGAATTTAGAGGAGACACCTACGGAAAAGTTCAGACGACGGATGCGTGGAATCGTTTTGCGAATAAGGCACCCCAATCAGTCGGCAACGAGTGGATCATCCTCTATGGAATTTGTCGATCAACCAGAACAAGCCTCCTCTGTTGATGCTCCACCTAATCAAGGCAGGTTGCGTTACCTTTAATCACTCTGGTTCCGCACTAACCTGCTGCCTAACCCTGTTAACTCACCCAAGCTTCAGCTATCTTACTGGTTTACTCAAAGAAAACGTTGTAGCATACTCCCTTTAACCAGATTTCACTTCTAAATGGAAGCCAACTAAAGATTCAATGGTTAGAAATAGCTTGTAGGTGATCGTTTACATGTCCGTAAATTTTGCTGGATACCAGGTAATCAAAAAGTTTGTGTAGATTTAGATATGAATCGCTGTAATGGCTTATGAATTGTATGGAGACCAAAATGCACGCAATTGTTTGTCTCCATGACTTTTAAGCCATAGATATGCGTCAATCTATTGATGCGGTACTCCTTGTTCTGCTACTAAATGCCTTCATCCTACCTCGGATCCTCATAGAACGTAGGCTGAATGTGGTGCAATTTAAAACCTGTATAAGCTTATCGTCAACTTTTTGTTGTGTCATTTGGCGGCGCAGTGGCAGAGTTTACCGCCAATGAATGGTTTAAAACCCTTGATTTTGGTGACACATCACTCCAAATTGGATGCCTTGCATTCAGAAAGACCCTCTGCCTTTGGTTGTGCAGAATGACACGCTGTTGTTGATATACTAATTCATGATTAAAGTGCCAGGAACTATCAGCAATGTTTAACGAGAGTGGGTGATGAAATGATTCGGTTACGTTTGCATCAACTGGAAAAGTCGTAGAAGCTGGGCAAGTAGGCCGCACGTGCATTAACCGGAGACAATATATTCCACAGACTACTGATTCATCACCCCTTCTACCTCATAAAAATGTTTCCTTGAGATAGGATTGTCTGTTGGTAGACCGATTTGCGATGCGAATTGTCTTTGTAGTTCGGCCGAACGTCATTGGCTAGTCTCAGGTGATCAACTATCCACCCCACACTTCTAATGGCAATATTGCATTCCGTGTTGCCTTCACATTTCTCCGAGCAATTATTGTCACATTTTCTTGGCATTAGTCACACGCGAAATAGACGGTTGACATGAAAGCAGAGGCAGCTAGGGCCGATTCGTTTACTTCTGAAGACAAAACTTCAATTAGGAAGTCAATGTAAGTCAACGATTTACTGAGTTCGTCGCGTGAGTTGTGAATCAAGGTAGTACGAAGTTCATCCAGTGGGATTTTTTTACTGTCTAACTGGCCTCATTTAACAACCATTTTTGGCCTTCCTTATTTATGACCCAGCCAATCCTAATTCCAAAAAACGCTCACCTTTTTATATCTCCTTAATGGCTTTTTAACCGCATTCGTAAAAAGCTACCCCCTATCAACCCATTTGATTCCATTGTTTGTGTGATTTACTTTGTAGGTTGAGGCGTAAACACAGTGGTGGCTTAGTGGCCACGATTCATGCAGGATTGTGATGAAATGCACCGTTGCAGTTCTTGCTCACGGTGCTGCGTTTGGGCGGCACCGCCGCCATCAAAAATACTAGCCTCTTCCTCCCTTCTGCCAATCATGCCGTACGATCATACTCTCTTTTATTCCGAGGCCTGAGGGCCACAGATTTTGCATTTGCACGCTGGCCTACATTGTTGCCACTTTGACTAGCTCAGCTGTACGCCTATACCAGGTCCAAGTTTGTGTTGGGTATGGGCCGTAATCGGTAATTTGCACCTCCATTCATAATTTGTTTTCGCCCTTCATGCTTCATTTGCTGAACAGAGGCGAGCTGAGGTGTGGGAAGGAGTGTAGGTACAATCGCATGATCATTTTATTCTTACGCATTATTTTGTAACTAGGGCATTTTAGAATGGGTGCTGTTGTTGTTGTTGTCACGGTACCCAAGACCCCAGCGCTCAGATTGATAGACCACCAACCATTTCACGTCTCACGTGTTACAACACGCATTCCCCTTTTTTGTCTGCTCATGTTTGCCAGACATCAAAATCGCATACTTTTTGGATTTACTTAAGGGTGACGATAGGTGATGAAGGCGCAGGGTAAGTGCCTTTTCATCCACCTAGACAAACCAAGCAGCAACAATTAAGAAAGTCAACATTTTTGCATTGAATGCCTTGTATTCAAGAATGGGCTACAACCGTCCCTCTGTTTCCTTTCAGTGGAGTTTGTCACACTCGAGTCGAATGGTATTGCTTCCACCTCACCGGAGTTACTTACCACGGACAATCCCGCTGCGAACCAAGGTGAGATGTAAAAGCAGCCTCCTTTTTAATCATCCTCTTCTAATAAATTATTACGCGATAACAAGCTGGAAAAGAAATTTATGAGGCACAGTTTTTCTAACCTCATCTTGAGTTTGTCATGGCTTTCACACAGACTTAAAATTTAAGAAACTCGGATCAGGGCTAATTACGGCATGACCTGACTGGTGTGAAACTGGCTTAAATAAATACTGTCAAACAACTTTTGCTAGCGAAACAAACTCAACTGCCTTACATAAACCACTTGGTGGGCTAGCTATCCAATCCAATTCAACCAAAGAACCAGCAATGTAGGAAAATTGTTGCGTCAAATACTAGTGCGTGTACATGCTCAACCACGGGAAACGTGGAAAATTATCCTCCGGAGGACTGGTGAATAGCATACTGCGGCTCCCTGAATAGCTGATAATATCACCTTATCTTTTTAAAGGGACCCTAATTGATGCATGTGGGGTGGGAAAGGTTGAGAGAATTGGTTTTGTTGGATCAAGACTTTATCAGAACCACAAAACTTTTGTAATTTTAGCGAAGGACGCAGAGAAGTCATTTCCAATTCACTAGTGTTACCAATCTTGGTTTTTCAGGTCAAAATTATGAGGGCGGTGAAGCTAATGTTGCAGGCCCAGGTGAAAGGGATGATGATAGCAGTGTAACCGAAGTAAGTAAGTATTTCTGGTTAAATTGGCACGTAAAAAATCCAAAATTCTGCAAATGACTTTTGGGCTGGGTGTAACAATATCGTCTATTTGCTCATACTTGTATCACGTTTCTTCGTGCCTCAACGACTGGTTTTGTTTGTGAATCAGTGTTTTGGAGTGCTGAAACCAGTACAGCCATGAAGAGAAGGTCTCATCATTCCACTTTTCAACGCTATGGTTACTCAAAAATAGACTTTTCTTATGTGGTACGGAAACAAATTTGTGAAACGACTTTGTGATGGTGGTATTAGCCGGAACCACGATTTTTATGCGTGTTTCAAGAGATTTTTTTGCTCCTAAAGCTATTCTGCATATCTGAAAATTTCTTAATATTCTCTCAGTGAGAATAAATGTCTTCCGTTTTCCTGAATCTCACTTGACATACACTTAACAATTTCAATGAAAACATCCTTGAAGCCAAAGGCTTTCAGAGTAACTAATGCCCTTTTTGTAAGCGACTTTTGGATGGAAAGTGGTCTGCCATCATAATCAGTACTACGTTGCCGTGTGATTGCAAACCTGAAGGCGTGCCTCATAGTAGAAGCCTCATTACCTCCCTTCCACGTACCTCCTTACAACATTTAGCTTGGCATATCACTGATAGTATCATAAGCCATTAAAAAGTACCCATTTATTTTCACATTTGAGGGATATTTTCCCCCTGATCATGCGTTTTTATTGTGATTATCCACTATCATGGTCCCGGCTCGTCGCTTGCCGCCTACTCATTTACTTCCCTTGTGCACGGTATATGCTGGCCAACAGGACTAGGCAGTGATTATAAATAGTTTGTGTTTTGTCAGAGACGGTTATGTTTAGTAGTTGTCCGGTTCAACGATCCCTAGTTTGTTGATAGCTTGTTTCTATACAATTTTAGTTTTCAATGAAATGGTAAGAAGCATGGCTCCCTTCCACTCAGTATCATTGTCGTGTATGATCTACCCATCTGCATGACTTTTTTCCACTCTAACGCACAAGGTCTGTCACTATTCAGCCTCTCAAATCTGCATGACTGATGCCAACATGTCTGATCCTCAGCGAAACGTGGAAGTTAGTAGTTTAATTGGCAAACCTAGAAAGTTGGTTATTGAAATAAACTTTACAGCATTCTTGAGCCCCTATTACGACCAGGTTTGACTTTCACACAGATTGAATCAGAACCACTGATTGAGGACCGACCAGAGGAGGTACAGGTCTTCTCCTTTGCACAAATCCTCTCAGCCATTTTTGGGTCCTTTGTGCACGGCGCCAACGACGTGAGTAATGCCGTCGGACCCGTGGTGGGTTTATGGTTAGTGGCCATCTCCGGCAATCCACTTGAATCGGCTCCCCCGCCAATCTGGATCCTCTTTTATGGCGGTGTCGGCATCTCCATCGGTCTCTGGGTGTGGGGTCGCAAGGTCATGGAGACTGTCGGTTCTGATCTAACTACCATCACGCCTTCCAGGTGGGTCACTAGCTTACTCTCCTCCAGTCTTACTGGTATGTTTCTCTTAGCCACCTAAATAACTATTCAGCTTTCGTCGCTCTCATATGAGCCTTCTGGGTTGACGGCTAAACGATCGTAGCTCCCTCCGTAATTGGCCATCCACACCGGTACCTGCATAACCGTTTGATGAATACTACTTTTATTCCACTACCTAATTAGTGGCTTATAATTTTATTTTATGTGAACAAATTTCGACCCTGTTTTTCCACTGTTACAAGTATCCTTTCTCCCACTATTAAGTTACCTTGTCATGGGTTGGGAGAGCTTTAAGGTTCCATTATGCCCCACTCATTGTAAAACAAATCATGAATTTTGCCAGGGTTCTCACCATTCTAAGACGAGATTTTAAATATTTAGGCGGTTACGATCACTCATTATTGCCTTAAAGTTGCAAAGTAAGTTTGAGGTGTTTGAAGTGGATTGCGGGGGAGACGAGATCATTCAGCTGGTAAAAGTTTCTTACATATAATTAAGTCTCACATCTCATTTGTCAGAGTAGTGTGAAACCTGAGTATCACGCATCGCAACAATATTTGTGGATGATTTTGTGAAGGGATGAGTCGGAAATTGTACTTTTCTGTTCCACATTTTGGTGCGCGGCATGTGTGGAGCCATAAATGCTCTAGAATCACGCAAAGTAAGCGTGTTATTTGGGTGCAGTCGTGTGTAGCGTACGGAGACTATCCTGAAGACAAAAGAAGACATAATACTTTGGCAAAATATAGGGCTTGGGGTTACTGGCACGGCTCGGAGGCCAGCCCACCTGACGAAAGTATAATGACGGCGACCCAAAGTGGCTCCTTCACTGAAACCGAGAGTTAAACATTCAGCGTATTGCACTTTGAACACTGGTTGAAGAAAGCGCCAAGAGACAGAGCTTGATCATAAGAGTCCCGAAAAACTCAGGAATATTGCTTGCCAAGGGCCGTCACGATAAGCCACCCTGCTTATCAGGGTGTTAATGTATAACTGCAATAGCCAGAGTCTACACTTTGGGTAGAGCGATTGTGGTGGCAACTGTTCTAGCATGTGGGGCAAGTCCGCTCCTTGACATTGTTGGGACGGCCTGAAATGAAGCATAGTAGGTGGGTGCAAACGCGCAGTCAGGTCGTGCTGGTTGTCAAGTGTTCCTTGGAGGAGAGCAAGTTATTCCTGTCTTGAACTTTTACGCTTTGGCATGCAATTGATATGATGCCTTTAATGTCACCTCAGGACACTGCTTGCTCGGCGCAGTTGGCAGTAGATGCGCGAAATTGTCATTGCCAAGGTACAACAAAGAGCGGAACTCACTCCGGACTAATTTATGTCGTTAAATCACTACATAATCCTTTAATAAAACTCTTGTTTAATGTAAATGAAACTTTTGCAGTCTAAAGTAGCGTATTTGAATCTTTCAAACTAACAAGGCATTCGCCACCGCGTCACTTTTTTGGTTAGGGAAGTGAAAAGGCGGAATCAACCAGGTCTGACCTGTGTGTGTGCAAATTCCGTCTATTTTTTAGTGGTGTGTGCATCGAAGTGGGATCTGCGGTGACAGTGTTGATAGCCAGCAATCTGGGTATCCCCATCTCGACAACTCACTGCAAGGTAGGTTCAGTGGTGTGTGTGGGACGTTTCCGCGCCAAGTCTAACGTCAACTGGAGGCTCTTCATTAACATTGTGATTGCCTGGGTCGTCACCCTTCCCGTCTCGGCTGGACTCTCAGCTCTTATCATGTATGCATTTACCAGAACTCAACCTCTCCTGTCCACACCTTAGATATTTTACTCCACCCCAATCCCTTTTCTCTTTATCTTCCCCTTCCTTGACTAATGAATCCTCCCTTTCCTCTCGTTGCCCGCATATGCTCCAGTTCTTTTTCCCAACCGAATATTTTATTATCGGGTTTTAATATTTATATCATATTATTCATCAACATCGAAGTCTCTTCCCACCCCTAGGGACTTGCAATACTGAATCTAACGATTTATGGAACCACACTGCACAAATAATCAAGAGGCTATTTCCTTGTTTTCGAAGTGCCTATGAGTGCGACAAATTTCCCCACAAAATTGGCCTAATGTGAAGTAGGCTGATGGAAAACAAACTTGGGTAGCTATGGCTCACATCCAGTAAGGCTCACCTTGTGATGTATTCTGTTGCACGATTAAAATCGTAGGAAATGGGAGCATTCGTAATAGTTCTTAGAATTGGAGCGTGTCAATAACCGCCTTCCCTTGATTGGATTTAGTGGTTTCATGTTTGAGGAAGTGATGATTCATGAAAGTGTCTTACGTAAAAGTTATTGAAGCCATTGGCTCTGGGGTTCAAAGCGTTGGTACTATGGTTACAATCCAATGTTCACAAAATGTAAGGCAGTAACTTTTGAGTATGAATGTATCCGTTTCCCAACTCTAAATCACTTGAAATCGGTTGGTGAAATAAGGTAATTCTGAGGAGGATTTAATGCAGCATCTGAACTAAAAATTTGGAGAAGCTACCTTCTGAACTACTCCTAGGATGGCATTTCAGTCCTTCACCAGTCAGTTTTCTCACTTTCGCAATTACCAGGAAGGCAAATAACACAGATGTGTTTCTAAAAAGTGCAAAAGGACTTCATATTTGCATCGCAATTCATCTCCCAGTCTGCCCTTTGCAGGGATACTATCCAGTATGGGCGTTCTAATATAACTTTTCCGGTCTGCGGTTAAGCCATAAAATGAATAAATTGGGTTTCTGAAGTTGCACAAATGATTATTTTTTTCTAATTTATGCAATATTTTTCCCACTTGTAAGCCCCTGTGCTTTATGTATCAATTTACCAGTACATGATTAACTTGACATTTTTTGTTTCTTGATTTTTTAAGTTGGTTTTCTCATGGGTTAATCTACTTGGCAGAAACGACTTCTTATTGCATGATATTTTCGCCATTTTTGACTGATGGTTATGAGATGTGTATGCCTTCATTGAGTGTGGTGCTTGCGCTCAGCCTGTCGTGTGCGTGTGGGTGTGTGCGGAATACATAATGTCTGGTGTAACAGTTGTGAATGAGCATAATTTATTTACCTCACAATTGGATACAATTCAGGCCAAAGTGTTGAGCCTGTGCGCATGGCTCCTGCAGTACAGGAAAATTAGACTTCTGTAACTGCATAGGCGGATGAGGTTCCTACTTTTTTCGGCGAATCACAGAGGCTGCGAAAGAGGTGATTGAGCCCCTCCCATATGTGCGTTTGCGTCTCTACTGTTCCATCAAGCGTTACAATGAGCAAATAGATTCCTTTCAGTGAAAAGTGCATGAGATCATATCGAACCATAGTCACCATACTCATCGTCAAAGGCCTTTATTTTTGGCAGTGTTGGGAGTCTTACACCCTCTGCTGTGCGATAGATAAATCAGTCAGTCAACATTGGGGTTTCATCACTTTACCTGAATCTTGATTATAAATTTCATTATCAACAAATTGCAATGAAATCGCCTTTCATTGACATTTTTACCCTCCACCGACTACATTTGGAATCCAAGTTTTGTCGAGTTGGATGGCATGTGACTCAAAACAAGCATATTTCACGATACGCTGGTGATTATTTGGGTATTCGTGTTTGTTTGTGTGAAAAAAAAGTAAAGTTGACCTTTTGTTCCTTTATGAAACATATTTGCATGTGTACCTTAGTCTTGATGGTAGGTGTGGGATTGATTATAAGAGTGAGTTCGTGTATTCTACTGAAATAGCCTTGCCACTTTACATTTGTGTCGTGGGTTTTATTTCTGTAGGCCTGCTAAACGGCACTTTGACTGGGGAGTTTGATGCATGGAAAAATGTGGATAGTAATTCAGTAAGATGGACAAACCTCCGGACAAGTTCAAGATTATCTAAAGATATTCACCCAATTCGTGGCCGTCGGTGCCCAAGTTAGTCATTCCAGGGGTAAATCGGTGGAACCTTACAGTAAGGTAGCTGAAATCTTGACAGTCATCGAGAGTTGTCCTGCCCACCTACAATACGTAAACTCTCACTAACACGAGTCACTGCCTTGTTTATGAATCTCCTCCTACCTGTCAAGGTCTGTGCAAAAAGATTTACTTATAGTATCATGCACCGCAGATGCCGCCTGTCTCTATGATACGACGCCAGGAGGTGATGACCTCATAGGGTTCAAAGTGGCTGAGAATTCATGTGAATATTTTAGCTAAGCATGACCGTGTGCGTGTTGGAGCAAAGTCCAGCACCATAGCCATATTCACGGACATGAGGTGGAATAAAATAGACCGTCGCGTAAGGCAGGCGAAACTTGCTGAATAAAAGTCCTTTCTTAGTTTTGTGGCGCTTTAAGACCTGCGTCAATACGCAATAAGCCAGACCGCTAAGGAAGATGTATCAGTGTCACACGGAAGGGCTGAGAGGTTGTGGGTGTGATCGGAAGGCTATGCCGCCAAGGTGGAAGAATGAACAGTGGAGACCTTGGAGCTCACGCACGGTAAATTGGTCATTTAAAAAAGAGACCATGTCGACCATATTTCAGGAACCTTTACCTAAGAGGTGAATTTTCGGTCCAATTAATGTTTACAACGGGCATCAGATGTTTGTTAAACCCATTCGTCATGCAGTCGTGTGATGGTCCACCTAGGTCACATGGAGGCTTCCGCTTTAGGCTTTTCGTTCTGATTACCAACAGGGTAGTGGGCGTTTATGAATATGATGTTCATTATCGAATGGGTGCACTATGAGGTTAGTAAATAAATTGCTTAAATTTTCAGTAGAGAAGATTTGGTGCAGATTTAAAAGTACACATATTCAAAGTAAGTAGTTTGCGAAACAGAAAATTATTAGTAAGATGCCATTGTAATACTTTGTTTGCTTACCTTTCTGTTTTGGTCACCCCGACACTAAAGGGCACGGCCATTGTATTTACACTCTGCGGTATGGACTCTTGGGCATGTCAGTAGCCCCTCACCCCTTCTGTACGTCTATAATACATATTCTTTCCTAGTATTATGAATTCATTCGTCTTTAGGCAAGACCTCTGGTGCTACGTTGGTTGCAGCGGTTAGTGAACCCGTTCCTAACCCCATTCTTGCTATTGATTGATAAACCCTTACGCTGCAGGTTACACACTACGTGTGGATAATGTGTGACAATCCCAAGCAGTCGGGTTAAAAGCGACATCTACCTTTGGAAACTACTACAGTTCTGCGTTCTACAGGAATGCTATTAGCAACTGAGGCGATACTACCCTTGGCCGTGGACCATCTGGAAAAGTTCGCTAGTAGCCGTCTAAGCTACTTGTGTGAGGGTGTCAATTAGGTGAACACGCAATACTTCCTCCACCTCTCTACTGGCTGGATAGAACCCATATAGGTGTAGCTGGGAAGCAATGAAGTGAGAACAAAGTGGCAAGGCGTAATGGACCCGAGACCCTATCCCTATAAAACAATTTTAAATCCTGCCTTTTATTAAATGGCTTTGCTTTTAGGCCATTTAACGATTAGCGATTGACATACGTATTGATCGACACTTTCACCCTTCCTCCAATACAGTTCCAAACAGGAAGAAACTTTAGGTCCAGTGAAATTGCCGAGAGGGGTCAGTGCCGTCGCTATCAAAGATCTTCTCCGTTGTACGCAAACCCAATGACCGGCGCGGTCAGTTCGTGGGCGTTTCCTTTACAGCGTTGTGATGGCCTTCGACGCTCAAAAGGAGAGAGGAGCTAGGTAATACTTTGACCGTTTTTTACCCCTTCGTTTTGGTTACACGGACACTGAAGGTCACGGCCACTGTACTTACACCCAGCGGCGTAGCCTCCAGGTCATGTCAGTAACAAACGGATTAGTCAGGAAACATTCCTCTGCGATTACACCATCAGTCAAGCAAATAAATAAAAATAAATCATCTAATTTCATGTTTCAGTTGTTTTCACCTGACTCGTTACCAGAATTGGGGAGAAGTAGAGTCGATCACGGCTTAGTGCCACCGAGTAGCATAGGAATTTTGAGGACCAAAACCACAATAGTACAGTTACCTTCAAATAGACAACATCAATATATATCTATTTGAACGTTTACAGCTCAGCTTCCACACCCTGTGTCACTCATTTTTGACTCCGGGAGTAAACAGCAAACGGTGATTGGCGCCAGTATTTCATGCGAGTTTGTTCCTTTTTCCTTTTGCGACTGTTGCTTAGAGGTATCGTGGGCTCCGACTGCTAAGCGGAGTTGACATCGCTACGACTGTGTCGTACTCGCTTGGGTACTCATGACAATTAAAATGAACTCGATCTTCTGCTTGGGTTAGCCTGCTCCCCAAATCCGTGTTCTTCCCTCGTTGGACATTTAAACTAATGAGATGACATTGTGACCTTGATCCACACGACCTTACATGTAGCAGTATATACAACTTGCGTAAAATATCGGGCCCTCATTCATGTGACGTTGGTAGCGAGCGTAAACTACCAATCCAGACGATTTATGTCAGTCAGAGACAGACTAAAAAAATAGTAATTGGCGGCATGTAACCAAAACCTGGTTTCAGTTTCTACTAATCGACTAATTACACGTGAATGATAACCACTGTTAAATGCACAAGCCCTGGCGATGATTGCAAAGATAACTACATCATCAAATACGCATTAACCTAGTACTTTGTGCGAGGTTACCTAGGGTCACGTTACCTGAGCCTGATGTCATAATGAAGGACATTTCGATTTCAACCATTCCCAATTGTTGTGATTAGTTAAGGTGTCTACACATCAGCCCGATAGCTTGTGTTTGATCCTTTTGAAATCAAACGAAACTTAGGAGACCGACCTTAAAATGTACTATTTATTAAGTTCAAGGGGAAAATGACCCTGAGAGGTCAGTTTTGCAAGCTGGTGAAAGTTCAATTTCCTTTAATACATCTATTATTTGCTTAACTCTCGGTTCGGGTGAAGGGGCCACTTCGGTGGGCTGGACTGCGGGTCGTGCTAGTAGCCCCAAGCCCTTCTGCATACCGACAATACACATTTTGCCCGAGTATTATGTCTTCCTTCGTCTTCAGGAAAGTCTTGGGGCACTACAAGTATCACCAGTTTTCTTGCGTAAAGGAACTTTCAAATATTCGTTTTATTTTGCGCAGTAATTTGTTAATGGAGGAAGTTCTAAATATCACTCTGCATCATTCGAACAAATAAATTAGGGGCGGCAGAGGCACAGCAAAAAGCCATTAATTGCGGCTCTCATCAGTGAGCGATTTTCGAGCTACAGCGATGTTGTACCGAAAATGTCTGATAATATATGTTGCAAAACAAAACTACTCACAACAATATAATTGCTCTGCGGGGTTTAACCGGATTTTGAAGCAGTTTTGGTGCAGTCTCCCTACGCATTAAAGTAGAGAATGCAGTCGTCTGCGTTCTGTATAGCATTTAGGGTCAATACAGGCGTAGCATTAATTCCATTCATCATTCCGATTTTGACATCTGATTCCATTTAGAGTGATACTCTGATTAAAAGCGCCACATACCTGTCCAGAATTTGTGCTGTTTTTCATTTGAATCGGTAGATCGGCTATCAGAAGACTTCAAGTACTGTTGGACAGAGGGATTACACCAGTGATGTAGATATATTTTAGTAATCGGAATCTTTCACCTTTCTAAGGGTAATGGATCTCTTCAGGCATAACACTGGCCAATCTGCCTGGTCGGGACCTAGAAAATGTTCTCAAACACGCATGCATGGCGTATATGTGCTTATTGCGACATGAAAAAATTGACATTGATTTCGGCCAAGGAATCCGACTTACGAAAGAAAAATCCATTACTAAATTACCCACAACAACTATGGATATTTGGTTTTCAAACCTGGCATATTTAAATCTGATGAATTGGGTAGATTATTTATGGCATGTCAGGACAATAAGAATAATCAACATTTCTCCCATACTTATGATAAAGGCCTCGAAATTAATGGTTGTACAAAGCAACTGTAGATATTCCCGCATGTTTACTATCTTTGCCAAGCAGTAAGAAGAAAATTTTTCACCCAATTCAGCGTTTCGATAGAGCTTTCTTTTGGAATTACGGTACTACTAACTGAAAAACGGCATTTTAATGGTGTGCATCAGATTAGCGATTCCGACGTTAAATTTTTTTACAGCAGAAATTTTATTAAAAGTAAAAATGGTGTTAATAGTATTAATGCTCACTTTGAGCTGTGCAGTCTTATTAAACGAGTTCCTATGTAGCATCAGGTCAGAAAAAAATAAAAACAAAGCAATAACCATCTTATCTATAAAATAATCCTTCGTTCTAATATGTTATAATATGGACGAACACTTATTATCTACATTGATTTTACGTACATAGTGCATTTAAAATAACCCGGCGTGTGATCCAATAAAGCGCGTTATTCGAAAATGGTCTGTACATTGATTGGTTGATTCGTGAGCAATCTTCAGGTAACACGACCAGTTAATAGCTAAGCTGTCGTACTATACTAATCGAAAAACTTGCAAGGCAGTACTGGCGATTCGCTTTATTTGCTCACACTAGTGTAGGTAATGCTGGTATTGAGCGGACAGGAGATTGCTAAATTTGTGTTTCTGCACAGCACAAAATTCACAAAAAGGTAGTTTTGCTATTTGTATTTACCAAGCTCCAGTGAGTAAGCTATTTTTCTAGAGATAAAATTTTGTTGTTTTTAGCATTGCAATAATACATACATACATTGGCTTAAGGCTAGTAAAGTAGGCTCTTACAAACTCTTGCTTTGACATAATGCAAATTGGTTTTAAGAGTTTATAATGTGTTGGCACTTTTAAGGAAGCAGTTTCTTGCAAGTCCTCCCCATTCGTCACTAATGACCCACTTAGAGTAGTCAAGTTTTTTAGTCTGACTTCTCACAGATGATTCCTATTCAATATAATTTATTGTAATACTTTGTGGCTAAAACTCAGTCATCATAAAGACATTACAAATTCAGTTTGTTGATATTGTCATAGTTCAAACCTGTGTAACAGTTACACTTAACCTCTAGTTTCATTTGCGTTTCCTAAGGAATTTTTGACCTTAAGTCAGACTTGATGTATGTGTTGCAATTTATAGTTAAGGTAGGTATAGTTTTCAAGAATAATTTGTTTACTGTAAAAGATCTAGTGTTTAAAGTGTCTTTGACTAAAATGAACAAAAAATTCCGCAATGGTTGCCATGCTCCACTTGAAATAGTTTGGTTTTGACCTGCAAAATTCTACGGATATAGAATGCATGCACATTGCCATAAAACTTCTGTTTTCTAAGGTAAGCATATTTAAACCTTTTTAAGGTTTAATTTATCCCTATTACTAAAACCAGCTCTGTTTTCCTCTTAGCTGATGATAGCGCTACCCACCTCCGAGCTTCTTTTCGTAGTTGGAGGCTTTTTAAGGGTCGTTGTGGTGGCCTTTGGGATAGGCGCCAATGACGCTGCAAATTCCCTTGGAACTAGTGTCGGTTCCAGGGACACTCTTCTGCGCTGCTTGTATTTTGGCCACTATCTGTGCGCTCGTCGGATCCGTTCTTCTCGGCGCACGTGTCTCCAATACAGTCAGCAAAGGTATAATTGACCCATATCAATTTAATACCTCCACTAATGGCACTGATCTTTTACAACATGAACACCTCTCAGCACTCGGTGACAAGTACTGTTGTCCCGAGTTTTACAATGTTATTTATAATAATTGTTATTGTTTTTAAAACCGGATAGGAATTTACAATATCCAGAATTTTTAAGGCTACATTACATAGCAGTACTTTACTTACCCATGACTTTTAAATACTTACAAATAGCCACGAACCCACGAAAGACATTGTATAAAATTTATTTGTGTGAAAGCATATGGGAAGTTTCGAATAATGCTCCACTTTTAGCTTATTTATATTTGTGCGTGGCGTCCCTTGGTACCACTGATGAGCTGTATCATTAGTATGCAGAATGCCTTATTGAATAGTTTTACATTAAACCTGGGTAACTAGCAGACTTGCTTCTACCTCCCTGCAGGTAGCGGCATCGTGTTGCTGTTGACATTTGTAAGAACTCAACCCTACTTTGATCATTTCACAGCCTATATGGTTAACCGCCTAAATTCACTAGCAGATAAGGTGACTACTGATAATTTGATTTGTGGGGAAGGTTTAAAAGAATGATGAAACGGTTTTGTGGTGAGAAGTCTCAATCTTGCGCCAAATACAACTGCACAAACGAGGTTGGTCCAAGTAACAGAGTTCTTTTGCTATTTACTCATTAACCTGGCATTGATACTATTTTAAGTTACAATCTTGATCGGGAAGTGTAACTTCTAGAATAGTCACTGACAACTGATCAGTGACTTGGTGAATACTTGTTCGCAATCCATTGAGCAGGATGGTAAAGGTGGCTATTGATCCTGTGGAGTCTGAGGCAGACCTTGTGAGAACGCACAAATCTACCAACACTATTGCTCGTGTTTTACCCGAACAGCAGAAAAAGAGTAAGTTTTGCGGTCGTGGCCTCTATTGATTCTCCCAGGGTATAGCCATAAGACTGGGCACAAAAATCACTACCTGAGCATGGTTGTACATGATCTACATTTGCACTCTGATTTGGCAATCCGGAAGAGTCTGCATTTATACGATTGGGAGCTCCCATTTGAATACTCGCCACTTTGCGATGATGATAGAAGTCACACTTCAGTAAGTAGCCGATAAAAATTGAGTTGAGATAGGGTGTGTTTACTTGAAAGCTGAAAGCAGTTGTTTTTATTAAATGTAATTTTTTACAGCGAAAACTTTATCATACGTGTCCTTAAAATGGCAATGTAAATAGAATCTTCAGGCATTTTGCTCAAAGTGAAAGAATGATGTCCCCGCTTTATTTGCTCTAACCTTTCTCAAAGCAGAAACGATTCAAAATCGTAGCACAGCATAATACTGTGGCTGGTATATTACACATACGTATATGTAGCGGATTAAAATCGTTCCTAGCAAAACTGTAGCTCCCCGGAACTTCTATGAAGATGAAAGAGGACATAATACTTGGGCATAATATGTGCTATCAACGTATGGAAGGGCTAGGGGACTATTAACATGGTCCGGAGGCCGTACCACACAGGGGAAGTACAAGAGTGGAGCCTCCAGTGTTCATGCAACCAAAACGACTAGTTGAAGAAGTAAAGTGTTGCATAGCTTTCATTCCTACGGAGCATGATCCCGACACTCCCTTTGGTCAACCTCTCACTTCCGCCATCACATTGTAGTCAATGGTGTAAGAAAAAAAACCGCGAACCAATCGGGTCAGTCATTGAATTTGCGTGAGATTGACAATAGCATCGGATCTTGAGTTTTGTCCTATTTGGAAAATGTACTGGGGGAATGGGGAATGTGCTAACCACATCGTAGGTGCATCACTGGTCGAAAGAGCACTGGTCTCAAGGCAGAGTCACTCAATAAAGGACGGGATTTGATCTAGTTTTGTGAGGATAGGGTTTTGCATCCATTCCTCCTTTCCACTTGGTTCTCACTTCAGTGCTCCAGTCATATCGATCTGGGTTCTATCCTGCTTGTAGAGAGGTGGAGGAGGCATTGGATGTTCTTTGAATTGGCATCTTCATACGCATCGTAGACAGCTTTGTAGCGAACTTTCAGGATGCCTCACGGCCAGTGTCGCTCCAAATGTTAATAGCTTTCCTACAAAACACGGGATCGGGGTAGTTGCCGATGACAGATGTCATTTGAACCCATCTGCAGCATATGCCCTTCATCCATTCCACTAAGGTGTAGCATTCAGTAATAGAAGTCGGGGTATTTGACCTTTAGCATTAGGTTCACTTTCTGCTGCCACCAATGTGATAGGCTCGGTGCTTTTTCCACCTCAGCCCTCATGGATCTGGAACAAGCAGGCCTGTTTAGACGAAGACACCCTTTATGAGGTAGCAAAAAATAAGGGAGAGGGTACAGATGTAGTGGTTTAGGCTTGTTTGGGGTACATTTTCTCCTTAGGGGCTGGTGGGGTCCAATTTGTCATTAGGTCCGTGTTGACTGACCGCCTCTCTCCGTAAAAAGTGATAACCGGTAACTTGGAATGAAACCAATTATTTCCCTTACAAGCTCTTACACGTAGTGATTAACTGGTCACATAAAAATATTAAAAAAGGGTAATTTGCTTGGTTAAGTGAGCTGGCTCTTATGCGCATAATGGCAAGTGGAACAGACATTTGACAATCGTATGAGACACTACGTCAATGACGACTAAACTCCTTCGTTTTAGCTGGTTGAGTCAGATGAGTCTGAAATCCCGAAGTCCATTGTGGTGAATTATGAAGCGTTATATTTTAATTTGCTAGAACACTTCTCTTATGCAAAATAATTGTAGAAATAAGTAGACATTCATGCTACCTTTTTAGACAATCTACCAGATAATTGCTCCAGTGCACCTGGAATGGATGAACAATTGGGACTCAGGATGGCATGCTGAGTCAGTAAATTGCCTTACCATAAACTCAGTCTGAAGTGAGCAAAATGCAAAGCTGGTGCTCACACACGGCTATCCATTTAGTGTCTTAATCGCTGTCTTCATTTGACGCTTCAGGTAGGTGGTACTATGCTCAAGGATAGACCGGAAAAAAGGGAGTTTTCCCATTCGCGCAAATTTTGACAGCAATGGCCGGCTCATTTGCCGATGGAGGGAATGATGTAAGGTAAAACTGGCATTTATTAAGTCGTTACGACTCCGTGATGGATTTATAGTATTCGCTAAGGCCCGAACACAAAGGAGGCTACTTGACATGCTGCAACAATGCTGAGTTTGAGTGTTGTAACCCACCCTGATTGGTTAGTAAAACTATCTCATGTAGCGTAGCAACGCTATCAGCCTGATGATTGGTTGATGGATGCTCGCCAAAACTGGCTGGATAACCTCGCGATCCAGCACACCTCTGTGGATCCGTGTCTATGGGGATGTTGGGGTATCAGTGGGACCGTGAATTTGCGGACATCTAGTCATTGAGGCAGTTGGTACGGGATTGCTTTCGCTTAGCGCCCTGAAGTCTTAATCGGCTCTGTCAACCGATGTACATATATGGCTGTAATACGATGGTTGTTTATCTCTCAGTTTTGGTGAGGAGCCACTTTTGATTTGGCCATTTACCACGCCAGGTGGGCTGGTCTTCGGGCCATGCCAGTAGCCCTAGTGCCTTCTGTATGCCGAATATATATATATATATATTACTCAAGTATTATGTCTTCTTTCGTCTTCAGGGAAGTCTCGCTACGCTACATTGGTGGCAACGGAAAGCGAGCTCGATCCTAAAGGCCACCTATCCTGATTTTCACTGCTGCGTGATAAACCTTAACTGAGCGGAAGAAGTGCATATGCTACGATTGGGAGAATGGCGATGACCTCAAACAGAAGAGTTGAAATTGACGTCTACCTTCGGCATTTATCCCAGTCCCATGTTCTGCAGGAAGGCTATTGACAACTGAAGCGACACTAACCGTGAACCATCTGGAAGTTGCGTTACAGACTTCCCCTACCGTACCTGCAATAAACTGTTGATAAAGTGGATTCGCGATACCTCCTCCATTTCCTTACTAGCTGAGTAGAGCCTGGCAGGTCTAAAGTGGGAACAACGTGACAAGGAGGAACAGACGCGAAACCCTTTCCCCACGGACCTGTGTTAAATTCCATTCTTCCTTACACAAATTTGCTTTTAGGCCAGTGTTCCTACATCTCTCTATGGAAATACATGATGGTCAGCTTAATTCCCTGTTCCTGAATCAAACTCCAAAATCGGACAAATATCCAGATCCAGTTAAATTGCCAAGAGAGACCAGTGACAATGTGGTCAAGTATCTCCTCAGTTGCACCCAAAATCGATGACTGGCACGGCTGTCTCGTGGGTGTTTCCTTGGGGCACCGACTACATTGTGATGGCTGGCGCGAAGGGCTGACCAAGGGGAGCGCCGGGGACGGCGCTCAAAAGAGGGGAGGGGCTCTGTAATACGAGGGTTGTTTGTCTCAGTTCTGGTGAGGGGCCACTTTTGGCTTGGCCATTTTACCACGCCAATTAAGCTGGCTTTTGGGCCATGCCAGTAGCCCTAGTGTCTTCTATGTGCCAAATATGTATGCTCTACCTGGGTACTGTCTTCCTTCGTCTTCAGGAAAGTCTCAGAGCGCTAATAGGAGTTTTTGGAGTCCAGTTAAGTACACGAGAAGCACAAAGCTGACTTTCTTTGTTTAGTCAGCACAAATGAAGTTTTTTTAATTATGGCAAGCCAATAAAATTAGGCGTCCAATTTTATGCAATCTCTCTCACCACTTTAGTGACAAACGTAGGTAGAACCTGGTAAAAAGGTTTTATTTGTCTGCTATGTAAACTGGTCTCAATTCTTCTTTCTGACTAGTTACCAAATTAGACAGTTAGTTTTGAACAAAAAACTGTTTATACTCCCCCTGGTGGCCTTCTATGAAAGAGCGCCAATACGAATGTGCTGAGCACATTAGGGCGAAACAGCATGTAATTTCCAATGTGTAATTTGCTTTATTAGCCATAGCAGCAAAAAAGATTTTAAAATAGTCCTTTTCAGATTTTTGCAACATTAATAAATGTTTTTGCTGCTTTTAAAATAGGCCTGACTTTGGATTGATACAGCCTCTCATTTACTTCTGGTAGGTAGCAGTGCAGTTTAATCCAAATACGTTTTCTTGACGCTTTTGTGTTAAAAATGCCCGTTATGTTATATTTAATTTGCCTCTAACTTGCTCATTTTTCAGCACTTAAAGAGAAACGGGTTAATGCTCTCTAAAGGTGTAATGTTGCATAATATAAACGAAAATTGTTAAACTCCAAAATAAGGCCCTTTCTAACTTTTAGTGGTTATGAGAAGTTTTGGACGTGTAGAAATCTAGTGCTAGAAAAACCTTTTTTCTATTTAGACCCTAATCTCTGAAGTTTCAATAGCACGCGCGATTGTACTGCCGCTGGGCGGTTGTCTGAAGGGTTTGGTCTGTCCACAAATAGCACAAGTACACACAAGACATGCACCCTGAACTGTTGCTATTAAAGTTGCACATGACAGAGCCTTGGCTTCTAACGAGTGTCGAAATGCGAACAAGGCCGAATTCCTGCTGTTTGGGGCCATATGCCTCTCTAACATTAGGAAGCTGAGTAAACTCACCCACCCATTCAACTCCTCAGGATTTGAAACCTGTTTAAAGAACAACCGTCAAATTTTATTTACTTTTGCGATTTAGCATGTGGATTTACCAGTTTTTTACTCTCCCTGTCTACGTTTTAGTCGGGAGAAAAGAATAGCCTGCAATTAGTTCGAGTTGTACTTGAAGAGCAAGTAGTAACCCTCATTCCATCCACAATCATCTTTTAGATGAACAGGAAGTAGGGGAAAGAAGCCTTTGACGTGTACGAGTTTAAGAATGACCATGCTAGTTCGTGAGTGGTAGATCGAAGAGAACGCTAGAGTATGCAGGAAAAACATGAATTGATGCCAAAGGAGCTCATTACTTCTGGCAGTATTTGCAAACGCATCTGCAGATATGCGAACTTTTCATACATGATACAATAATTTTATTGTTATTCCGTCAAAATTTTAGACGATGCGAAGTATTTGCCTTCTCTTTGGAAGTCAAACACACATCAAGAGACTGCCATTTAAAGAGACGACATTACTGTTGACATTATCTAGACGTAGCAATTTTTGGAGTGGTCTGAACCTCGGCTGTTTCACGGCAGTTTTCTCGCTCTGCTCTTTCGCTCGGTTAGAATACCTTCCCCCACAACTCATTCTACGCACATGATGCGCCCCGAGGACAATGAATCATTTAGCGCAGCATCCTAGGCTGGAGTGCGCGCACAAAGGGTTACATGCTTTTGCTTCACCAAAAGCTGAAGAAAGTGACTGGTCGAGCAATTCAAGGTCACGTCATTCAGCTCTCATCATTGAAGTCTTACACAGAGTAACCCCACTTGCTGCGTTCCTAACTCTGCTCTCTTTCCAAGGTTTAGTTTATACTTTTAAGACCAACAGAGAGGTTATTTCCAAGTCAGTCCTTTACTAATCCCAATCACCTCAACATCTGGCTACATAAAATATGTGCGGGCCTTAGCTGAAGAATATTTCAGCTCAAAGTACTTCACGGCAGATAAATTAAAAGATATATCCTCACAGAGAGGACAGCAAGCATAATGCCCAGATATGGTCACTGAATCATCCTTAGCTCGACCTGGCCACCTGGGCAGACAGCACCTTCGGATTTCGCACCCACCCTCGTGCAAATATAAAGGATGCAGGTCTTCCTAAGGATAATCTGACAAATAATTCAAAAGGAGTACCGTAGATCGCCTCACAGTTTCCTTGCGTTAGAAACTTAGTTTAAGGTATACAATATTAAATTGAAATACCAAATTCTTGTAATGCTCTCTCAATCAAAGAGCCTAAAACAACGGAATAAGTTACGGAGGAATGTTTCGAAGGTCCAGACATTCAACCTGGACTAGGGTATAGCCATCCGTCATAAAAGAATTTTTTTCAATCAAATCAATGCTTTGTTGTTGAGACTTCAGAAAGGCTGTCCAAATCGCCGACGTTTTCAAGCTACTTCTGTAAGTAACGAATTAATGTAGCGATGTGGGTCGATGTCCAAATGGCTCCACAAAGCCGCCCTGCGGATACTAATTAGAGCGAAAGCGCCTCATCCCATGTATTTTTCAGGGTAGGCAATGCTTCTGAAAGACAACTTTACTACCTCCCGACGGTGTAGGCGCCCTACCCGCCTTGGTAACCGCCCTACTGCATGCTGAATTAATGACCGAAGATCCCGAAATGACCTGCACCAGTTAATTTTACATTTGTTCTCAACTTCAGCATATGGTGGAACAGCTTTTAAGATTTTGATGGGCTCCATCAGATCACTAATCTTTCAGCCCCAAAAAGTTTTTGACGTGCCAGTAAGCTGGTTCATTTCCTTTTCGGCGGCGTTAATCTGAATTGCAACTATTTAAATCGTGTATGAACCCTACGGCTTGGTCATACTATCCCACATAATCTTTGTGGCAGTTTGTGATGTAAGTCTGGTACGCAGAGGATCAATTAGGACGTACCTGTGGAATCCGCCGAAGTTCCGGTCAACCAGCGGTACGCTATGTAAGAGACATTAGCGCTTAGTAAAATCCAGTGTCTCATGCTCTGTGCTAGTAGAACACTGTAGAATGAAGGGCTTGCACGGAGAACCATCCGCAACTGCATCCATCTGGTTTTCTACACTAGCGTTCAAATGGGGCAGGTGATCTTAATTCAATTTCAAAGATCGGATTTCTTGTAGTTAAGCGGAACAGACACTGCTTGCTTAGTCCTGACAGTGTTGTTTTACTTTTGCGAAATGATCAAAAGCAATGCCATTGTACAAACGCAAATAAATTCTGTGAATCACTTAGAGCAATGAACCTACTTCTAGGGAAATGGCTTCTCTACAAGTTGAAATTTTAAGTAAAAATTACATTCACACTTTAGTAAACTGATTAGCTATCAACACACTAACAATCGCAACGGAAAATTAACTGAAGCAACAAGTCTATTGAATGTATAGGATAGTAAACGAACGCACAATCCCGAGGCTGAGGAAGAGGTGCAAACACACGAGCGCATACATACACACACACGTGGGCATCCACACAGACAAAGGCAAATTGGAGTAGAGAAGCGATTTTCCGGCGGACAGTACACTTAAACGACCTGCGAAACATAAGAGGAGTAAAAGGAAATGGAGAAGATCATAGGCGGCGTACATGGACAAAAGAGTGGTGAAAGGCACGCACGTTCCGTGATAGGGGGTAAGGATACGGCGAACTTAAATTTGAAAGCACTGAAACAATGGAGGAGGAGGAGGAGGAGGAGGAGGTGTGGAACTTTTGTGGTCTACTGCGCTGATCCGTCGACAAGGCGAATGAGGATTTTCGCGTAGCCATGCAACTCCGATTCCACAGGAACCTGACCTGGAGCCGGGGGCGAATTCTACGAGAGAAAATCGTCTTTGGGCATTATAATTTGATTCCTGGCCGAAACGTTCCGGCCTGTTTACATCGGATTGAATATGCGTACTTATACCAGTAACGTACGTTTTAACCAACTGTGGCACCATGTATAAGGCGTCGGTAACAGATTTATCACTATTAACTACGTAAGTTAGTGTCGCCATATTTTAAGAGTATACGTAGTACAATGTAACAATTTAAGATAAGTTTAACTCAACGGCCTTTTGATGAATCACGATGAAATTCTTAAGTTAAAAATAACTTACCAAAGGGAAGCAGTGCTCCCGCTCGTTCGGATGCGCAACAAGTTCACTCATGTGGTGTGCAACTAAAAATGGTAATGGGAGATAAAGTAGCTCGCTAAGCGCCTATTTAAGGTATTAAACTACATAGAAAAATTACCAAGGAGGAGATCACAGCCATCCAGGAGATCAGCCTCAACCAACTCTCTGGCCAGAACATCGGCCGAATCTATAATCGCAAGTCAGACAAGTTAAAAAGTATATGTGAAGACACTTCCTTCACTGGACAAGAGCCAGACTACTTATTGAGCATTCATCGATCAAAATTGGTTTCAAGGTGAGGATCAACTCTGGGTAAACCAATGGACTATGAAGTCTGTTGGTATCATTAACAGTGTTCACTACTCTAAGAGCTCTGAGATGAATAAAAATATATGCAAACAACTTTTAAACTCTCCTTTCCCAATGACATAATTAAAGCTGATATCCTGAAGCTCGTTTCGTTGACGAGGATTTCGCTTGCGCAGAGTGAGACGGTAGTAGGGGCCAGTTGGCTACAACCAACGACAAAAATAAAGTATGAACAATAACTCAAGAAGGGAGTTCCCAAGTTTGATGGTTTTCGTGCGCATGGACACAAGTCTTTGGCCTCAGAGTGGTGAGCCTCAACTACCCCAAACATAAACATAATTACAATAGGTGGTCGTCACAATGGTGACACGCCTTAACACCGATCTCAATAGAGCCAAAGAAGGGAATAATAAAGGAAAAGAGACCTCAACGGAGCCACCCTGTTCACCACCACCCTGATGGGAAAAGTTGGTAATGTGCCCGAAGTTGGGGTGATTCGTTTGGGGAGAGGCAGGAGTTCCGGCGGGCACGGGAGGAGGTTGCGTAGGCGACATCCCCGAGATTAACGAACCCGAGCGAGGTGGTGGTGGCGGTGGAACAGCAGCAGAGCCAGAGGGGATGGTGGTGTTCTCGTTGTTGTAGCCGCCCTGACCACCTTCGTCACTGTCGTCGTCGCTCGTGTAGTAGTGACCGGGGGAAGTCTGTCGACCCAGTGTGTCGAAATTCCACTCTGTGCTGACGTTTTGCTGGAAAAAAGTGAGAACAGAGGGGAGTCGTGAAAATGTTGAAGCTGAACGAGAGTTTGGGGGTCTAAGACACAATGATACTGCCTGTATTCATCGAGGTTTACCCACACGCTTCCACTTTGCGATAAGAGAGCAGAATGGAAGCTCTGAGATCCCGTAATGCAAGCTAGACGCAGAAGCGTTGTTAGGAGGAGTAGAGCAAAGATATCCGCAGGGACAAATCTGTACTTATCAAAGTCCCACTGCACGCTAATGTCCCGCCACAAAAGTTATCTACAATGTCGAAATTTAATGAAAAAGTAGGAAATGGTGGCCCAAAGTTGCGGCAACACAAGCTATACTTATCGGTATTTGAACAAAAAAGCAGAGCAAATGATCTGCAGTATGTAAAAAGAAGGAGAAAATCGTTTTCAAAATTCCACTATACATTAACAATTTGCTCTAAACAAACCAAGCAGATTGAAAAGTAATGAGGCAGAAATTAGGTGGATGTAGGGGATTCTGAGACATGCGAAAAGCAGCAGCATACACAACTGCAAAAATATTTTTTTACTTAACGGCGCACACAAGCAGCAGCATCAGAATGCGCCGACATTTGGTTAGTGAGCATTGCCGAATAAATTATGGGGGACAAAGTGACCTTTTGACCCAATTTCTACTAACTTTTCTACATGAATAACACCTTTGCAACCAACGATTTTGTTGATTAAATAAATCACTACTGGTATTCACAGACTTGTGTAAGGCTGACTTGCCAACAAAATCTTGGTAAAACTAACAACATTTGATTAAAGAATGAACCCAAATCATAAAAAAGTAATCCCAATTTCATTAAGCATCAACCAGGCACCAAGATGCTATCTAATATCTCATTAAAATCACAACATCCAAAAATATTCGTGCTATTTTAGTAGTTTTATTGACAGCGGGAACATCTATGCCGCTGCCATGGAGATGGTTTCGGCAGTTCAAAAGCTGCAGTAAATACGCATAACCGTCTTTACGGCAAAACCAAGAAGAGGCGACGTCAATTTCAGAAAGATAAAAAAGTGCTGTGGTACGCCTGTGCACATCAATCTCCCATAAATCAACAAAGGATTTACAAACACCTATCAGCCCACCACCACAAGGGATAGTGATACACACACAAGTTCTGCTCAAAAATTAACGTTTTATATAATGCTCGGGAATGGTGCATACACAAACAGCTACACAATGCATATCCCCGAATATGGAAGTACACCTTCGCACAGAGGCTGCCTGAACACATGGCTGTTGCTAGGCCGGAATAATGATTAGCGCCTTTACAGAAGTGACTCTGACTGTGTCCAATAAACACAACGTGGTGTGCATGTCAGCAATAAGTCCACATTTTGTCAACGTTACATATGCACACTCATCATGTACACTACTGAACATTTGTATCGATATGAGCAGTCCAATACGACGGTTCTACTAGTAAGCACTTTGGCTAAGCCACTTTGTGCCTAAGATATCACTTATTTAGCTGCCAAAGAGGAAGTTATAACAGAAAAATCGTAAAAGCATCATACCATACGTATAAATGATTCGAAAAAGCAATTTCTCACATTAGCTTACTTCTTACTTGAAAAATAAGCATGACATTTGCCACTCGCTGCCTCTTGTCATCGGAAACACCAGTATAAAGGATCTCCTCTTTCTCCTCACACACTGCACAACTATTTAACTACTCATAAGCACACGAAGAAGGCAGCATAGCGCTACTTTTGCTCGTAATTTATGTACTTATCTCCTTGGCTTCAATACATAGTACTTCAGCCATCCACGTGACTGATGGTATTTGCATACGCGCATCAAATTAGTGCCAATGCCTATGGAATGGGGGGGGGGGGGGAGAAAGATGAAACAGAGGGGTGAGAGCTCTTTAGGTAGAGGTCACCTTATCACGCTTCTCCAGCCGGTCTTCGTGGTGCCGATTTTGTTTCAGTGGAGGGGTCGGAACCTCGCCGCTCAGCAACACGCGGCACAGCAACTCGCGATCCTGCGGGGAGACAAAAGAAAATGCTAATCGGGACTGCTTTGGATTCGCCACTTGTTGGCTATTTCGTTATTGCCGCAGTCAGCCGTAAAGTTGCTATTTTCCCGTGTCTATGGAAGAGGGTGGCCATATGATTCGTGGATATCCTAACAGTGAATGGTGGTTCAAACATTTGCCTATCAATCTTATGGTAGATATGGGAGAGCAGAACATATTTGGTTTTGTTTAAATGGTCTAACTTTACGGAATGCCATGAAATTGCAAAACAAACACACCTACTTGACGATTGGTGGATGTTGACCCGTAAACCCAAATAAGCTCAAACAGTCAATTAAAATAAATGTTTTTTGAATGTGTTCCATTCAAGTGAGACAATAATTGGGAGACTCCTCGGAGTGTTGTGCTAGCAACCAACCTTAGCCTTGGATTTGATGTAGGAGTGGCTGAAAAGCTCTCTAGCAGTGGGCCGTTGATTGGGGTCCTTTGTAAGACAAGATCGGGTGAATTTCCGGAATTTGTGACCGTATTCCACATACTGATTCGACACCGTCGCCACTGTATCGATATCCGGTGGTTCATTTTTCAGCGTTAGCATTAATACCTTTCGTAAAAAAGTACGAAAAAAAAACGGGAAAGGTAAACATCACGTGTCGCCGTAGGTTAGATAATTCCATCCGTCTGCGAGGCAGCAAATGGGCACAAGTCACGCATGACGCAGCGGGCGTACGATTGAAATAGTGGTGCCAGTAGGAGGTGGTACAAGCATGGGGATTTATTTAACCCAAAACAGTAGTATTTTAATCGTCAATGGAAATTTAGACGAGATTTTAAGGGGACAGTGCACCATACCTAGCCTATCCTCGGACGATGATGGTGAAAGATGGTAAATACACATCTGTATGCAGGGCACGTGCACAAGTGGCAATCAAACCGTGCAGTGATAAATTAAAGGCGCAAATGACAACAAAACCAGCACTTGCAACTAGTCCAGCACACATTTCAGAGCGAAACAGCAGTTTAATCTGCGAAAATGGATGCAAAACAAGGCCTTGTTGAAATGTGTTACAGTAGAGGGGGCAAAGTAGATTCAACGCAGTTTCAACCTGCGGAGCATTGCAACCAAAAACATAGATGACTCTTCTATGGTCCGAGATACGCAATTAACAGTCATAATCGGTCAAGCGGTAAACTCAACTCAATGATCGGCAAAATCGAGGTTTTCATGTGGCTTACTGAGCGTCAGCCAGAGGGTAAACCGTAGTCAGCCGGGCAGTATCTCATTTCAAGTGCTTAATGTTGAGAATTAGCCTCAAATGATATTCATCAAACGTGCGTCACAGGATAGGTGGGAAACCTGTTCAATTTCCTCAAACAAGTTCAGAGAAGGGTGAAAAACCTGCCTTCATGGGGGCATACTTGGCATAGGGAGCTTGTCCGGTTGCCATTTCGATGGTCGTAATTCCAATGGACCAAATATCGGCCTTGTGATTGTAGCCACCGGTCTACAAAAAGAATATTTAACTAAATTGACTGAAATACTTAGACTACAGCCCTCCTCAACTATTAAAAAGCGAAAATTATGACATATAGAGGTTTCTAAGGAATCCATTTTAGGTAGTTTGTGTACCATTTTTGGGTTCAGATGTGTTGTCAAAAAGTGAATGGGTTGGTTGGTTATTTCAACAAAAACATTAATCTGTGAGTAAGCACTATAAAACAGGCACGCATCTCTCAAATTCAGATCATCAATATAAATTAGCCTTCCATTGTCACTACCCGAAACACCACAAGTTATGAGACTAGCAAAAGCAGCACGATCTACCTGCTGCATGACCTCAGGAGCCATCCAGCAGGGTGTACCGACAAACGTGAAGCGTCGAGGTCCTATACTGCCCGTCTCTGACAGCGGCTGACTCGCCAGAAAGCCTGCGACACCGAAATCGGCGATCTGTATCACGCCATCGTCCTTCACCAATAAATTTCCACATTTTAGATCCCTTGAGAGAGATAAACAACAACAGCATCCTAGCGAAATCGAAAAAGGTGCATCAATATAGATCCCAAAACAATGAACTGAGTGCTGGGGAGCGCTAACAGCCAAATACACCCCCGTTTTTAGATGCACTTATAAACGTTTTGTGCCTATGCAAATGCTCAGCAGAAGAGAGTAGAGAGGTGCCAGGAGCGATGACGTTTGACCTCAACGAATGGGCAGTGCAGTTAAAATTTCGAATTATAGCAGCATTTTATAGTATCTAACACTACTGCGTTATGGCCTGTAAAAGCAGCAGTAGGCTAGAAAGCAGCACAAATGCTTAGTTTAATTAACAAGTGCAAAAACTAAATATCTCTGAAATCACAGGCAATTTAATCACATTATTTAAGGATCAATTATTTTAATTAACAATTACACGGGAAAAGAATCATGAGCGCTTACGAAGAGCAGCTCAATGGCATTGTTCAAGCATGCAAATATTCCAATGTGCAGAAAAATGAGATTCATCTTGAATGGAGGTGGCATCCGCCGCCTATAAAACGCCTCGTGTACCCTGAGTGCGATTGCATATACATAGACATGTCTGGTTCACACAGACGCAGCCGTGAATGAAATGTCGAATCAATGAAGTGAAGAACAATAAAACAATGAAGTCAAGTATATCTACAACAGTAGTTTAGCGCCTTCCATTCAAAACTAATACGGTAAAACCATAACTCCATGTCACTACTTTGAATGGTGGAATTAGAAATAGTTAAAGGAAACAGATAGGATTCAAATCTACAGACAAAAAGTAGGACATATTCCAAAGATCCAAAGTAAAATGACTCGGCTTCTTAATAACATTATACTGGCAAAAGAAAAAGATGTCTTTATGCCTACCCATAAAATCTATTTAGCCATGTAGATCTCTAGACCAACAGTAAAGACTGATTTCCTTAAAAGGTTTGTTTTTCCAAAGTTGTACCGATTCATATTTAGCAACTAGCTGTGGACTATGACGCGGCTAAGGTTGGTATAGAAAATCAGTGATTAATCCGGTAAATTTCACTTTATTTGTCCATGCCTGTCGAACCTTTGGCTGCTACATAGCGTATGGTCAGTTGCCAAACACGATCTCACTCACCGATGAACAAGACCGCCCTCGTGAATGTATGCGAGACCACGTAGCACGTCCCTTAAAATTGTGGCGATGGTGTATTCATCGAAGACACCATAGGTTATATCTCTTTTACTTTGAATAAACTTAATAACATCAAGTAACGAACCTATAACAGAAGCAAATTAGTTAACGCTCTACGTGCACTAATTGTAAGAAAAACCACCAATCCTGCCGAATTCGCAAACCATTTGGAATATTACCTCGTTGACAAAGGTCCATAACAATACAAAGCTCGGTTTTGTCCACAAAGGAGGCGTAGTATGCAACAATATTCTCATTTTTCATGTTCTTCATTGACTTTATCTCGCGCTAAAGGAATGTAAATGCGATTCAAAAAACTTACGTTTATTTCTTCAAGGGAGGCTGATGTGCTAGACTTATCAAGATTAATTATTTTCATCGCACATCTTCGATTGAGTGGTTTGCATAGTGCCTCATGCACCACAGAAGTAGCACCCTGGCCTAAAGAGTGTAAAGAAATACACCCGCAAACCGATGGATTTTACAATTTCGTAGGCCGTGCGGGTAACAGGCCACTGAACATTTGCCTCTGAAGATGCCGCCGAATTTATCGAAGGCATTGACATCTCAATTTGTCGAATTATTGCAAGTTTTTCCACCGGAACAACTTCGCTGGTCCGTCAGTGTATGTCCTGGTTTAAATTACGCCTTATTTTCTAAAAAGGGTGCCACAAGTACAATGCCTCTTGAAACACGCCAAGGTAGGCAAAGCAAGACAAAGAACAAGTAGCATTACATGCTACAAATAATAGTAGCAGTTATGCATATTAAGAAGAGAATGAACACAACGACAAAATAAAACTAGAAAAGGTGCACCAAGACAAAGCATAGCAGCAAACCTCACTGTAAGCATCTAACGCACCGCTACCATTAATAGCAGCTATAAAACAAACATTTGTAAAACCCACGCGTACTAGGAAAATGTTATAACAAATAGACTGTTATTTTATTATGTGGGTACTATCCAACTCATAGGAACAATACAGAAATCATTAGTGTTTCCCAAATATCGATCTTTTAGAATATCTTAAGAGACCGAGTTCCATACACGCAAAACCAAAATCCATTCCCTTAGCCTAATGCGCAAGTCAAATGCAAGCCTAAAGACCTTAACTTTTAGTTGATCTGCTAAGGATTCCGGTACATTGTGCTCGGTTGACCCATTTAGCTTACATACCTGGGAAGAGTCAAGGGAACATACTGACATTCTTCTCCGGCAATTTTCTGGTCAGAAAAGAACAAACAGCACGACGCCTATGCCTTATCTAGGCGTGTGCAAAAACTACTTCCCTTTTTGCTGGAGGCATGTCTCAATACAAACATCACGCTGCTACCAGTGGAAAGCTTCCCCCTTATCCCTCATTGACCTTGCCATTCGAAACCTTGCATCGATACGCCCGGTCTGTGAAAAACGTTATGTATTGTTGACATAGGGCTTTACATTGGGTATATAGACTTAACATTAGGGCATCTTCGATGAAGCCTTATGAATCGTCCAGGTGAGGGCCTTGCTATGCGGACAGGTGTGCTAAAACAAGCATAGGCCAGATATGTATCTAGGTCCGATAATGTATGATTAATAAGAATTTTAACTTGATAAACTGGAGAGTAAATTGTATTTTTTACTTACTGTACTCATTATTTTACTGAGGTTTATGGATTTAATTAGTTGAAATTCCAAAGAAGTATTTTGCTCTCTTTCACATAAGATTTATTTGGATTTTGCGTGCACAGATGATGTGCCTAAATGCGCTGAGAATTTCGGGGAGGGTGATGTCTACTTAAAATGATTAATTACTAGATTGCATCAGATATGTGTACATCTTTTCAAAATAGTTTAAACTTGGTGAAGAATGTGCAGAGTATCCTTTGTCCGTAAGCCTATATTTAGAGTTTGCAATAATACT